ATGTGGATACAAAGGTTAAGTAAGGGCAGACTAGGGAACAATGTAGCTTCGCTGGTTGGTGTGACGGTTCACGCCGGCGCGCTGGTTGACAATGTCGTAAAGAGTTCTGCTTGGTTTTAGGCTATCGATCAATTCCAATTGATTTCTGGGCGAGCAGCAACGTAGTACGAAATGCGAGGTAGCTTCTGCAAATGCAATTCGATAAGAAAGATATTTGTTTGACTTGATCGCCTCAAGGAAGATCATTTGAACGAGAATAAAATGTTCACATAGTGCTGGAAACTGGATTACTGTAGTGTTGAGTTTCAGCGATGGGATCCGTCACAAACAGAGGCGTGAATTCGAATTTGAAATGAAAACAATAATCCGGCAAATAAATATGCACCATGTAGAGCCGATATTTCTGAGACGATGAATTTATGCTCAAAGGTGTGCAATAAATTGCTGAGGAATGGTCCGAAACAAGGCAAGCGCATCCATTCGGATCGACCCTACGCGACCTTGAAGTGAAATGCTGGATAAGGTTCGTCAAATCTAGATCCCGTCACACAGCCTTCGCAAGCCCGGGAAAGACACTGTGCGGTCGTTTCATTCTTTGATTATCATCAGTAGTGTGAATTTACTCTGGCCCCTGCGGGGCTAGTACCCAGAACCTGACTGTTACCATTCCTTGATAAAGAATACGGGGCTATGGGTGAAGTTAACTACTAACGTGATTAACTTACTAGATGTCTGGCTGACTGAGTCTGGATGGAATGAACATTTGGTTTGATTAGCCTAGTTTTTCAAAGAAGTTAATTGCTCTGTTTAGCTTGACAGCAACAACATGTCGCCGGTACCGCTGCCAAAACCTATCTCGTGTACAACATTTTCCATGAGAATAAGTGCACAAACTTTCACTTACCGATAACTGGTGTGTCTTCAGATAACATAATATAGCTACGCGAAAAATCAACCAGTGTACTTCGCAGTCTACAGTGTCAAGCGGGATTCTGCTTCCTTTATTCGTCAAATTATATCCTTTGTAATTTGCACACGGTCAGCGACATATATGCTAGGATGCTTCTCATATCTTTGCTGCGGCCCTACACTGCGAAGCCGACTTGTTTTCTTTATCAATCATTACGTTAGCCTGGTTGATAGGGAAGTTGATAGTCAATCACACACCCATCGTAGTTAGAATAATGGGAAAGATGGTATAAGATGAACTACTTGTATTCTTGAACAAAGCTAACATCCTCAGCAATTTGCAACACAGCTTCATGCAAGGTCGATCTTGCGCAACATGCTAGAGGGACATTTTAGACCACACAACGGTTTCTATAGACAGCGAAAACACTATTGTAGTCCTGTTCTTCGAGATGCAAAAACTCTTTGTTAGAGTGCCACACAGAAGGTTACTGAACATATTGAAGGTTATAGGTATTGGAGAACTGATGTTTTCTTGCCTGTTTTCATTTCTAATTGGTTGACAGCAAGTGGTGCGCATCGGCGACCATTTCTCTAAACCGAAAGCATTCACCATTGGAGTGATTCAAGGGAGTGTTCTTAGGGTTCTTATTAACGACATATTCCAGAGAATAAGAAATGGTGTTGCATTTATCTTTGCTGATGACATTAAAGTTGTCTACTCACAACCACATGCAAATACTCAGGAAGCCGTACGTCTCATTCAGTAGGACCTATCTGCCATTGACTCCTGGTGCCAACTGTGGCAGATGTCGTTTGCCATGGACAAGTGTTATATTTTGTCTTACAAATGCCAAGTACTGCCAGACAGTTTATTACTACAGGGCGCATATGGCTCGCAATGCAGGGCAGTTCGCGACTTGGGCGTACGAAATTCAGTCCCGTTTAACTTTTCTGAACATTGTGAGTTTAAAGTGTCAAATGCCATGAAGACCATCTTTTATATCTGCCATCATTTTCACTGAATCTCGCCTATTGCTTTTCAAATCCTATGTATTGCCGTGTATGGAATACTGTTCAGTGTTCCAGTCTAATCTTTAAAGTCTGATTAGCATGCTCTTGAGAGGATCCACAGTTGCATCACAAAAAAGCTATGTAGATATTCCTCAAAGTTGACCCAAAGTGTACAGTGTGATAAACTTGGATTTGACCCAAGTTGGCTTCGGAGAATGCAGCTGAACCCATGTTTCTTTGCAGGATCCTAAACTGTCAAATTCGCGGTCTTGATAACGGTGTTCACATAGCATTAAATAGCAGACATGCAATCCGTAGCAAAGAGGTAAATGTCATGATCCGAAATTTACGACGAGAATCAGAGAACGTTTCTTTCCAACCCACTACTCAACAATTTGGAACAAACTTCCAAGTGATATCAGAAAATGCTATACACTTTGTAATTTTAAGCTTTCGATTAGTAAACAGTTAACCGTCCAAAACGTGATTAATATGATTGGGACATCACAGTCCAGAGATAACGCTTTCGAAAAGGTATCGCTGGTGCCAAAATAAATTTTCCAAACACATCCAGATAACATTCCGGACAACAACCCTTTTCATTTCGTTTTTGCTCCGCCCAAACGAGTGTCTAGTGATTGTGACGAATCCTGGTTCAATGGCAGGAAAAACAGCAGAACGATTCTGATTACTCTGTGTTACCCAATTTGCAACTGCGCTCATGTTTATTTCTGAAAATGTATTAATGCAATGTCATGGAAAGTTAGTGCCATTATTTGATCTGTTCCTTTTAGGGTACAGCTTCTCGCATCGACAAAAAATATTCAATATATTTATTTGTTTATTTAAAATCCATTCACAGTAGATGGTTTCCTTAAAACTGAGGTAGCGGATATTGTCTGTCCTCTACAGTGTTCATAACTTCCAACGGTAATGCTCGAAAGGCGCGTGCATGAAAACGTTTTCACAAGTTGACACCTTAGTGCTAACCCGTGCTTGGCGCATGACAGTTGATCGCTGCTGGGCAGCGCTGATGGCAGAAGAGGACAAACAGATGGAAAATTCTATACATCGGATTGGGTACTGATATGCTGATTCGCTCACAACGCTACTCGTTTGGAATGCAGTTGCTTTCCTATAACTCGATGCAATACCTTCGGTGCGTATTCTTCACATTATATTCACAATGGTACATCTGATAGCAGGAACTAAGGAAAGGGTAAATGCAAGAAGGGTGCCGCCGGCTAGCGCCGATCCTTAGGTGGTCTACAGTCATTAGCGATCAATCTGTATCCAGTAGCTGCATCAAAGGTGGTATTCTTCAATGCTTAGGTAATTGTCGCCGTCCATTGATAACGAAGTATCTTCAATCGAAGCAATCAGCACAACGAACAAGAAATTTCGCGTTAAATAAAAGCCATACATTGCAACACGAATCGTCAACCAAACAATCTTGCCAGAATGGGTACACAAACTTATCTACTTGAGATATTATATCATCGAAAGTGGGGATACCTGTTAGCTTCTGAACCAATAAGGTTGCGACTCAAGAATATTGATATCCTGAAATACACTGCTCGTGTACAGAAGAAGAGCAATTTAAGAGAACAGCCTACATTTTACTATATGGGTATAGCGAAGACTATTTTTCAATGAAATGTTATCATGAGGAGGTGCGCAGAACCTTGGCTCCGGTATGTTTGGGTTCCTCATACCAGAAAAAGACATTATTGGAATATTTTTGTTTCGCCCCGTCAGTGCACAGAGAACTGTAAAGTCTAGTTAATCCTAGGTAACTGGGTAACATACTATATATTTATGCTAAAATGGATGTATATTTGGGGATGTTTTACATAACGAGGTTTGCAGACATGTTTTAGGCAGTATTGTTTGATATGCATACCTGAAAGGAGCCTTGGCGGCCAACCTACTAAGTGCATTTGTGAACTATTGGTATAGGTACCAAATGATGGAAACATTTGGCAGACAAAGACTTCAGAAGAGGGTGTCGCAAATCGATCCGGGATAGACACTGACCCATTGCAGCTTTTGAGACCCAGGTAGTTCACGCATACTCAGCGTCGGGTGTGGGCTAGATTTGAACATTGTAAGATCTGTAATCAGTGGCAAAGAAACTAGAACTGTAGCAACTGTGGTATCCAGTCAATCCTTACATCAATTTGCACCGGAGAATAGTGAGAGAAAGTACTAGAGTAGCAGGTGCAAGTTAGGCTTATGCTTGTAATGCGGATTTTGAGCTGTTCTCCGAGCTGAGTGATTAATGTGCTGTCGTTTTATTGCGTGACAAGGCAACATCATCAGTGCACCTTCAGGGGCATGGTTTGCAGTGCTACGTAAACGACTTCAGTAACCAAGTGCTTATTGTTCGACTTCTGCTTTGGATGTCAGGCTTCACGGAACTCATGCGCTTGCCGGCTTTTAGCGCTTCCGAGGATGCTGTTGTGTTCTAGTTACAACTGATGGTTCTCCGCATCCATATGCACTGACATCAAGGAGTTCTGGTCGTGACGACGAAGGGCTGCGCTGTGTTTGTTTAGCCTGGTGCTAAGGTTTCTTCCAGTCTGTCCCACATAGTATATGTCGCAGTTCCGGTGGCAGATCACATAAATCACACCAGTTTCTTCCTCTTTGCTAAGTTTATCTTTCAGTTTGAAGAATTTACTGTGAATCATTCCTGGCAGCTGGTGTGAAATTCGACCTAGAGCACGCTTGCACGCTCGGAAGGTCTAAAAGCCGCCAACATGTGAGTTCATTGAAGCCTAACACACAAAGCAGAACTCGATCAATAAGCATTTGGACATTGAAGTCGCTTACAAGACACTGCGAATTAGGCCTCTGAAGCCGCACTGGTGATGTCGCCTTGTCCGGCAATGAAACGACTGCACAATAATCATTCAGCTCGGGAAACATCTGAAAATCCGCATCAATAATACGAGCTACTGATATTCTCATTTATTACACTTGTATTAATTATCTGCATCGTAATGAGCGAATGTCTGCCCATGGTTTCAGGAAAAGTCCCAATGATTCGAGTTGCTTCTGATCTCGTTTTTCAGGAAAAGACAGAAACCTACTTCTTGATTATCTTCTGCGTAGAGGCACTTTTGAAAATCGTCGCGCTGGGCTTTTTGTTCCACAAAGGAGCGTATCTGCGAAATATTTGGAACATAATCGATTTTATTGTGGTTGTCACCGGGTGAGTGTCAATTCCGTACATGGCAACATGAAAGCATTTGTTACTATGCGATAATTTGTTAGTAGTATCCCTGCGGTTTTTGCTTAATCTCATCAGTCAGTTCCTCATCATCGTAATAGCCATAGAAATATAGTTTCAACAAGCATGGTACAGGCGGATTGAGAGGTAAAACAGATTTTTGGAACGATTCATAACTTTCTCTGTGCATCATGCACAAACAGTTTATTTGCAAACTAGCGAGTTAGTACATTCAGTTTTTACATCCGGATTTCCGTAGTTGTTTTCAACTTTTGACTATTCTCCTCCTGAATATTTAGACTTAGTGGTTGCATCTATTTCGCTTCAATGTTGTCTACCAAATTCACATGCTTTTCGCTGCACTCCTGTTGGACTGCATAGGTAATTATAAGCCACATTGGCGAACAAGGACTTGTACGCGGGAATCACACGAGTATAAGAACTGTGTGCCGGAAGCACTTTCCATCTCTCCATCTACCGGCATTGGATTTGATAGTGCACGAAGCAACCTAAGTCGAATTCGAAACATATTACAAAGTGGTTCAATAATGGCACGTGGTATTTGCCAGACACACTTCACATTAGAAAGTGCGCCAGTCAGTTGTTTCGTACTTTGAATCCCCGAAGTAGTAAGTTAGTAAGTAATCTGTTCGGGGCAAAGTTTGAAATGTCAGCTTTCATATTGAAGTCATCGGTGGAGCCTTGTGGAACATGTGGAGAGCGTGGCAGAAACGGTCCCACTATGAGGAAAAGGCATCTGGTGCTTTTGTGGATGTAGAAATATAGCTTGACTGGTTGTGGTGGAAACGAACTTCATTCGAAATTATTTAAAAGTACTCTTTCGATCACTGCATAAAGCTTTATTTACAAGCTGGAAGAATCGCACATTGATGGATAAATTTATAAGCCACCCTGTCCTCTGCACGGCAGTAACGTGTAAGTCAGTGGATAGTGAGCGGCGCTATTTCACATCTAGTAACTTATTCACGATGGTCGTTGCCGTCCCCCGTAGCTCAGTGGTCTCGACCACGGACTTGCAACAGTCGAGTTGCGGGTTCGAGCCCTACCACGGGTCCGATGGAATGCGCACTGCTGACGATTCCCGAAAGGATGAAACGCGCGTACAGTGCTTTTCCGGGCGTGTGACGGCTGTCTGAGTGCGCCTAAATGTGACGAACTTCCAATTAAATTTATAAGCCTTTCATAGTTTCCTTATCAATAAATTTGGTGAATAACAAAGTATTGTTGCTACAGTCAGGTGCGTTTTCGTGCGCGTGCAGAAAAATCATTGGTTACATATGCAGGAAAAAGCTTGACAAATATAGTCAAAAACAAAGCTAAACTAAGGAAGCCACATGAAACTTACATGCAGGTATGGGAGAGTATTAAAGTGGGAACTAATCAGAAAGAGCAACATTAACCTACTATCTTTAAGATGAGTGAGATGAATGGGGTAGTTAACATGTTGCAAAGCGCGACCGGGTTCATGATTGGTAAACGCAAAATTTAGGACCAAATATGTGCAGTATCTTTTTGTTCCGGTAGCTCACAAGCTACATAGCACAGCCTAGTTCGGAAAAGCACCAGACGTGTTTCGCAATATTGTGGTTCGTCATTGGTGCTCTTATCCTCGGTTCCCTACAAGGGGTCGAACCCATGACCACTGGGAGGCTGACGCAAACTAGTCAGCAGCTTAAGCCACAGAGCCATAAGTGACGGTTCCTGGATTACACCATTTGCAGGCCAACTGGGACATAGCACTTCCTATCCTCTACTGCCATGCAGATTACTACTTAGCAGACGAATTTGGCTAGCATCTGAAGGTCATGACTTCCTCTCAATAGACGATACCTCCATAGCATTTGTAACTAGGAGAGGATAAGTTTTATAATATTATGAATAGGAGGATTTTACTTTTAATGTTTTCGTCCCAGTAGCTCACAAGTTACCTAGTACAACCAAATCAGGAAAAGCGCCAGACGCGTTTCGCCCTATTGGTAATATGTGCAGTATGTTTTGACAAGGAAACTTATACTTCACTTTATTAGGCTGAGTTTAGAAAGTAAACGTTGTCGAATGCAGATTATGTTAGTGTCAAATTCTAACATCGCGTTGCGATAAGAACTTGTAATGTACACTTTATAATATACTAAATCATAGAAAAAGCAATTGGTTTGGGTTTTAATGCGAACACGAATACGACCGACTGAACAGCAGATTCTGTGGCCATAAAGTTAGAAAATTGTACCACTGAGCCATGTATTAGAACTTTACTAAATAGGCTGGTAGGCTTAATGATCAAAAATCTGCTTTATAATCCGAGGGAGCGGGTTCGAGCCTTCATAGAGACCGAGCGACTCCCGCAGAGTCGATAGCGCACGTGCGACCGTTGAAGGTTGCGCGGCAGCGTAGCGCACCTGTGTACTGCTGATGCTTTCATAGCAACAACCATGAAACAAAAACCGGCGTACGATATTTTGCACGATGTCCACCCTAGTGAATAGTTAGCCACCCTCTATGGGGCTTCAATAAGGTGAACCAGCGTTGGTTAAATGTGGTACCATTAGCAAGAATTAATGGATTGGAAACGCAGCACTGTAACCGAGTATCCGCCCCCAAGGGAGGTGCACCGTTGTGGTCATAGCGGTAAATAAGCTAGACGAATTAAATATGCCAAACACGCGTACTAAAGACAGAACGGTACTGGATACGAAACCATGGAACACAACAGCCTCCAGCTTGATCTACAATTCTGGCTAGGTCTATGTGTAGTTGAAATCATCTCTTCCTACATTCGCTGATTTCAGTCCATGCGAACAGTTGCGATACCTTCTCGCTTACGATGGGTCGAGGATAACCCATATTGCATCGACAACAATCCAATGCCCACTATCCAACTTAAAAAGAAACATTTGAATTACTGACTTGAGGCGTGTTGAATGATGTCGCGGATATATGGGAAAATATTAATATTTCAACTTCTACAGTTAAATACAGTTTTGGAGAACGTGCTTACTAGACGCGCATATGATGATGGCTGTTGTGCGCCTCTTTTAATGATGGGATCATGTCATGTATCTGAGGTGAAAACATTGAGTGTACTTTGGTTTCCTAAATAACGGATAGTTTCCTCATTGAAATGATGGGCATATTCTCCCCATTCTCATAGAGCCAGCTTGGATACATCATCCTATGGTAGTCACTCGGTAAGCAATGGCATGTGCTCAGCCGTCTACCAAACAAGAGTGCACCACTTCGCATTCAGTGGACACAGCATCACGGCAGCCGGTCCTTCATCTCATAGGTAATGTGAAGTATCGTATAATACGAGAGCGCGCCAATCGCTTCTTTAATTTGCTCGCTTCCCGATGGAATAGATAAATGAGTCTACGGGCATATGTGACCGTAATATCTTGATATACAGCTCTTTAAATATTGGGTGTTTGTGCTTCCAAAGTACTGGTTACTTTTGATGTGGGATCTTCGGATAGCGTGAGCCGAAGCATGTATCAGTCCCTTGAGTTACGGGCCAGCGTGAGGGTTTTTGTGTCTTCCAAAAACCTCCGCGAGAGGAACTCTAACAGAGATGCTATGAACACTAGGGGAGCATTTTGCTTCTTACACCATGGTTTTAAGGCTGGTTCTTTTCACATTTAAGACTTTCCACGCAGTGCGTGTCTCCAAACCTCCAGTAACCTAGCAACCTGTGAGTATTTCCACGAAGTGATTATGGAGGGCACTCGTATATCCGCTGAGAAGATTAACCGGATACTGGACATCTCACGAGACTGACTTGAATTTGCTATCTCAGCTATTCTAGATATGCGTAAGCAGTCAGAAAATTGCTTGCAGATATGTTTGATTAGTGATGCAAAACAGAAATGAGTTAAAACTGCCGAAATAAAAAGCTTGGGTTTCCAATTAGTCCTCCCCAGCCCTACTCAGGTGATCTGGCCCTGTCAGATTATTCTGGACTGGAAGAAACATTTGAAGTAGCGACGATTGTGGATATTTTCTGGCATCAAACACACTACTGACAACTGATTTTAGACACAATAAAATCGTTTTTACATGACTCCTCTAGCAACATTCTCTACCAATTGTAACAAACTCAAGAGTGGCTATGTTGAACAGCTGTGTCACTTCAATAATATACCACTTTGATTTCTGATCATAGCCAGAAGCATATCAGCCCACTCGTACATCTAAGACGACTAATGGTCGCTATTAGGCAAAATAGTGATGAACTAATTTTAAATAATAAATACATTGTACCTGGATGATGATAAGATATGCTAATACTAAAGAAAACACGTTCGTAATGAACCATAAGACACAAAGCTTTTTCAATAGAACACATTAAGCTGTTTATTGAGTAGTGGTGAATGGTTCCGTTAAAGCGAAGAGTAAAAATCGCTGCCAAATTTCCATCATGAGTAAGCTATTTGCTATACTACAGCAAAATCGCAGTTATAATTCTCTTTATTTATGTAGCCGAAGGGTGGTCTATAGGGGAAGACAACGTCCTGTTCCTCATCAGTCAAACAGAGTAGACAGCTAATGGAACCGATGGGAAAATGAAAGTGTTGTGGCAGCAACTGAAACGCATTTGTGAACATTCACTAGCGAAAATGTTGCTGAGAGCTGAGATGAGAAAACCACGTTTTATAAGTAAAAATCATGTTTACATAGGAACAGGTTTTCAGGAGTAGAATGGTGGAATTTTCACTGCTTAACCAGGTGTTTGAGCGGATGGATGTGTGCGCCGCTTTGGACTCCAAGCAGTTTGCGCCTGCGTACACAAGCAACACAATGCGCATTGCTGTGAGAATTGTATACATTTCTAACAGCCTACAGGAACAGAAAATAAGAAATAATTGGTCCAACGAGAGGAGTGAAAGTCACAACTATTTTCAGCTAAGGCGATGTTGTATATATTAAGTAGTTATGGTGCGGTCTGACTATACCGGAATGCATAGCGA